GGGCTTCCTCTGCGTTCATACCTGACCGTTGCTGCCTTGTCTGCGGTGAGCCGACCTCCTCGCAATGAGGACAATGGTTTTAGCTGTGATTTCATTTTGCAGGATGCTGCCATGACTCACCACACTTGTCACGCTAGTTGCTGAATGTTGCCGTTCGCATTTGGCCGAGTAAACTTCTCAAGCTTTTACTGCATAGTTGAATCTGCCAGATCCTAGAGGCTCAGCTGTAACTTGTGTTCAGAACCGGTTGTAACCTTTTATCTGGTACATATGCACGTGATATATCGGTCTGCTTGCATGTAGTCTTCCATGTAGTTCGACTCGAACTGCAAGCAAGGGACTAGGAACCGTTTTGTTTGTAGTTTCGGTTTCTGTCCACAGTTTTCAGGCATCTTGGATTTGATCGAACCCACAAATATATATTAAATTGATAATGATGAAATCATTACTTTGCACTACCTCATTGTTTGTCTGCCCTGAGGACTGTTAGCATTGTTTGTCCAAGACACGGCATTGAAATAAAGATTTACCGGGTTCACGCGATTTGTAATAACGATGAAATTTTCCGTGTTATTCAGGATTCGCTAGTTAGTAATATAATGAGGAATGAATGCAAATTTTTAATAGCATACTTTTGTACTATCAGAATCATTGAGCCAAATAAAATCAAATAAATTTTTAGATATAAAGCCAAACATATAGAGGTGGTGTTCGGTTGTGTTCGTCCAATGCATCAGGCTCAGTTTTGGTATTTATTAGTGACATTTGAAAATTTTTCATGAGCAGAAAATTTAGTCTCTTTGACTACCTGGTCTGAAAGCTGTCCATACGAACGAAAAAAATTCTGACTGTAACCGAATAACACGAACTCTGATTGTTGCAGTTCTGAGTAGCTAAGATTGGTTAAAGATCATTTTATTGTTTTTTGTACGCGGTTTAAGTTTTTTACTAACTCGATGTGTTGACTCGCCGAGTTTCGTATTCTTATTGTATGAAGCAATTTTTTTAACTGTTTTGCTGAAGTGTTTTATGCTATTTCAGGGTTCTAAGCACGTGACTATGGACAGGTAGTAGTTTCGATGTTCCAGGACGTGGGTGCATCAACGGTGTTTGACTCGTTTCTGAGTGGGTCGTCGTTTCGGGACGTCATTACGACATTCAACCAGCTGTGCAGCCTGCTAAACCTTGATCCTACCGATCCGGAAAATTTTTTCTTTAAGTATTGTGTGCGTTTCTTAAAATATCATCGACCGTCACCTAGTGTCATTTTAGCTTGACAGAGTCACTGACGTCATGGAAAGCACAGAACTTGAAAGAGTTATTTCGCAAACGTGCTCTGCAGCCCGAATATGGCCAGCAGAAATTGTGCTGCAACGCGAGGGTATTTTTTACTGTTGTTAGCTAAAAGGTAGCACGTAAGCGACGGAAACTCGGCGTCAGTTATATACTGAGGTGCGGTTGTTTGTTCAGCGGTGTGCACAGATTACACAGAAATTTTTTACCAACAAACTGTTATGATGTTCATCTCTTCCATGTTAGATTCCTGGATACCGCTGCTTTTGCAGTATTTTTGACGTAGGGGAGAAAGACATTGCGGTTCAGATGGGGGGGGGAGGAGGAAAGTTTGTAGCTGTTGGAATGTTAGTGTTCGCTGTAGGTTTATAATGGGGCCATTTTGACACCCTTGTTTTTATGAAGTTAATGGTGAGGCGTTGATCTGAATTACCATGCCATCAGCAGCGAATGCCATATTTTAAGGGCAGAATAAACACAGCAACTACTCCTGTTTCTTTGCCTTAAAGTGGTACTCATTTACCAACCCTGGGAGGAAGAAATATGAATGTC